CAGCGGGTCAACGACCGGGGCCCACGTGGAGTTCGGCGTGGGAGCGACCGCGGGCCGGACCGGCTCGCTCTACACCGCCTTCTGCTGCACCAACATCAGCTTCTCCCCTCTCTGGCCGTCCACCATCATGGCTGCCGAGAGCACTATGGGAGGTTCGTGTGGAGATTGTAATAGTTTTCGAAACAGTTGCCTAAACTAAGTGTGACTGTAATTAAAACCGAATACATGATTGCTCCGTGGCAGAAATTACACCATTTCAATGCGCGTTACGTTACGTGCGTGTTGTTACGCCATGATGCTATTTGTTCAGATAGAGCTTATAAAATTTATCAGATTAGTGGATTTCAATTATAAATAAATCAGTGACTGTTAACGAAAACCAAAGCAGGTAACTTTGAAGATATATGTCTTAGATTCTTACAATTTCCCATTGTACGAATATTTTATAATTTTCGTAGTCACGGATGACTGTCGTGACGTCATCAAACCGTAAGAGTGCTTTTAATTACATACAACCCTAAAATTTTAGAAAAGACACTAATTAGTTAATGATTTGGTGGAAGTAACAGACACACGTGTTCGATAACAGTGAGCCAGATGGTGAACGAGTTGGAGTGGGGCGCGGGCGGGCGGCGGCTGGGCGTGATGCGCGCGGGCGCGGCGTGCGCGCTGTGCGGCCGCCTCGCGCACGCCGCGCCGCCGCTCGTGCGCGTGCTGCGGACGCATCCCGCCTATACGGATGTCAAGAAACTCGTCAGTATATGCCATTATTTACATCACATTTTACTAAATAAATAATCTTAGTTGGTCTTTACTTTTATAATTACTAGCCGTACTACTATACCGTACTATATACCGTATACTAGTACGGTACCGTAATCTTCATTTATTGAGCCCAATCCGTATATAATTATAAATATATTATGATATTAATACATATAAGCAAATAAGTAACAATATATATTATTATTAAGTGGGAAAAATTATATTATTAATGTTTGAATATCTATATCGAAATTATCATTTTCAGGATTGAATCTGAAGTTTTAGGAATTCAACTCCATCGGACTTTGTAATAAAATATATTTTTTTACTAATGATACAAACGTAGCAGAAACATGAAGAAATTCTTAGAATAACTTTCTCATTCTTATAAAATACTAGCCGTACTCGCCCGCTTCGCTGGGCATTTAAAATTATCATTATTATTTATTGTCATTATTATTATTACGGAGTCCAACACTTATATAAATATTAGCCTATCCATTAAGTACATGTATTTTCTACATAGATACCAAGTTTCAAGTCAATCGGATGCATGGTTCAGTAGTTATAACGGAACATCCGTAAAAACCACTGTAGGTTTATGTATTATAGTATAAATTTGTTGTACCTTGTTGCATAGTAATATACAGATTTTTTCTGCCACAAAAATTGCTATGGAAATGATATTTTACATCACTATAAAAGTTACGTTTGATAAAACGTCATTAAATATTCGGACAGATTAAAAATATAATACATAAATAAAAATTTTAGTACAGTAATATTTTGTAGGTTTTTAATGTATATAGTTAGTTATTTATTTACCGCTTCTAATGTCTATGTTCGCTGCCTTGTCTAGATCGTGGCTTCGATTGAAATGATCCCGATCAACGGTCGACGGAAGATACAGACCGACGAGCTCTGTATGAAAGTAGAGCCGCTCGATTACGACGAGGCTGTAAAAGAGTATGGATTGCACATTAAAAAAATCCACCGCAAAGACAAGGTAATAATTTTAATTATTAAAGCTCTATAAAATGGGGTCTCTATAATAAACAGTTATAGAAAAAGAAATTTCGCAAAAGAGTTTGAGAAAACTATTCGTGAACGTCCATAACGATAAAATATGTATTTTCGTGTAAATGTCGGGAGTTACCTTACGCCAAGTTCGAGCTACCATCATTAGATACCAGTGCACAAGTTTAATGGCAGGTCATTCTTGATATAGACAAATAGATCTATATAAACATATCGAGGGGTGAAAGGTGACTACATGATATGGAATATGTTGAAAAAGTTTAGTAAAGGTTTTCTGATGTTATTAAGGTGACCAAGCTTTAACTGTACAATTGGTAACGTTCTTTGAACATTAAATAAGCAAACTGCGATCGCCTGACACTAAACTTATTGGTGGTAGATTGTATTTTAAGACCTCACTATCGCTTTCAGTGGGACAGCCGTTATACAGTATAGTTGAGACTTCGACCTTATATATCAAGGTGGGTGGCTGTATTCACGTTCTGAGGTTTTTTTTTGTTTAATGCTCGTGTAGGCAAACGAGTACACGGCCCACCTGATGGTGAGTGGTTACCGTCGCCTATGGACTTCAGCAATGCCTTACAAATAAATAATATAAATTAAATAAATAATAAAACAATACTCCGATACAAAACACGAAGTTGGTCGTAAGCTCGATCACACATTTACACAATAAAGTACCTAATAAAAGATGCATTAATTTAAATGTATAAATATATATTTATATGAATGTTATGAGAATTAGAAATGATTAATTGAATTAATTTTATTCAGGTTGCAATGGCAAAGGCGTCTATGTTGTCTACGACTCCGTGTCCTGAAAGGTTTCCGTTGGCAGATATCACCTGTTTAGCATTTTGTCCCACCATAAGGCATCACGATAAACTGGCAGTCGGTCTACACTCTGGTATACTGCTGCTTTTTACTTTATAGTAAGGAATTTATTTAAAAAATTATTACGTTTGTCACAAAACTGGCTATACAATCTGAACAAGACGACTTTGTATAAGACGCAAAATGCAGTAAAAAAACAAAAAAAAATGGGATATTGAGTAATTTAAATACGTACATGGATACATTTTGAAAAAAAGCGAAGTCTCGAAAGTACTTTATAGGCAAAAAAATGAATTTCTAGTTATTGTTCTTTCATATGTTATCGTTTTTTAAACATCAACTATTTTACTCAAAACATGTCAAGAAACATTTAAAAAAAAATTGATATACATAATATATCTAAAGGCGTTTTTTTTCGCATCTGCCGTCTAAAGATTATGATAATTAACTCAGAAAAACAGAAAAACACAATTCGAAATAAGTATTTTATTGATTTGACTAATTTGAGGTTTGAAGGACTATAAATACTCTTCCAAAAGCATTTTAAATAAAAAAAAAACAAAAGAAAATGTTTGGCAATCAAGCTATTTATGTAAACAAAATTATATACAATGCTAGCTACTTATACGCGTAACGGAAATAATAATATTATATTATAATGTACCGTAATGTTACGAAATGTATAGCTATGAAACAGACCCACCTTAAATTTGTGCTATGTATACTTAAAAATCAGAATAATCTAATGTGAATACAATTGAAACAGTCTTTAAATGTTTTGCTTTAATTTTTTACTGCCTTCTTGAATAAACAAAAAAATGTTTGAATTGTCTTCTAGTACCTAGGAATAAATTTATATAGCAGATAAACTATCACATATTATTAATTTCTATCAAATAAAGGGTTGGCATTGGTCAATAAAATTGTTTGATCAAAACCTGAATAGATAATGTACAGTCAAATCAAGATTTTATTTAAATAAGCATCCAAAAATATAATTTGATGTGCAGTGATCATGCTGAATGATTTAATTTTTAGCAATAAAATCGAAACTGAAAAATAGTAAAATATGTTCAAAAATAATATTGTATTGTATATTAGATTTTGCATCACAACGCTATTGTAGGTTCTAGTGTTGCCATAAAGTAATATTTGTACGATGTACTTATATTGATTATTTAAGAAAAAAATTAATAAGCGCCGGTCATTGTGGTAGTAAGTTTACTTTTGCTTTTATGATTCACTTTCCGTTTTACTAAAGTAGATAATGAATGTATCATTAACAAGAATGTTAAGAACATTTTTAATGAATTTTTTTAATGTTTTAAAATTTGACAAGTTTAATATAAACAAGGTTTTTTGTTCGAACAATTGAAGTTACTGAGCGATTACTTTCTCAAATAAAAAAAGTCTGTAAAAAGGTCGCTCTCTTAAACTTATCTTGTTTTGAGCTGTAGTAATATTACAATTATTGTATCATATATAGTGTATAATATGTACTACGTGTAATTATTAGTCGGGCATAGTTAGTCTGTTACTCTGTATGTTTTTATTAAGTTATATTTAAAATTATTACTATAATGTGCACCCTGTAACGCATATGACTATATCGGATTTCAAATCAAAAGTGATATTAATTATTCAACGTCTTTTATCTCTTGTTTAAATAAAATGATGTGCTTGTTGTTAAAATAAAAATATATATATTGATTTAAGTGTTTTATTTAGAGAGAGAGAGAGAGAGAGAGAGAGAGAATACACTTTATTGCACACCAACACAATTTACATTTTAAAAAAACAAACAGTCAAAAAGCACATATGTACAATAGGCGGTCTTATTTAATTGTATTTGTGCTTTCTGTATCATCGTTTGAATTAACAGATACAAACTCAAATTAAAACTTAGATAAAAATACTTTATCATTGGCAAATGTAATGTTTCATTGTTCTTTTTATTCTTTTGTTTTTTTTTATTGCTTAGATGAGTGGACGAGCTCACAGCCCACCTGGTGTTAAGTGGTTAATGGAACCCATAGACATCCACAACGTAAATGCGCCACCCACCTTGAGATATAACTTCTAAGATCTCAGTATAGTTACATCCAAGTAGTCTACAAAATCAAGAGTAATCTTATAATTTTTACATTAATTCATGAGGGTTAGGAGCGTGTGAAAACGAGAAAAAATATGATCTTGTCAGCATTTATTTTCCGCGAGTGTCTCATACGACCGACGCGGTTTAATCACAGTGAACGCTTTGGGCGCAATCGCTGGTCGCTCACACTTGTCACTGACTCGCCAGTCGCGTCAACAGACGTCACAACTCTGTAGTCGCTTAGATACAGTAGCTCTCTACTCGCGCCAGTGTGTATTTTGCCGTGTTGCAGAGCGGATGTCGGGTTATCCATAAAGTTCGCGTTCGCGTATATTTAAAACAATTAATACAATAATTAAAATTGTTATAAAAATTCGTGTGCTAAATTAATATTATTTAAATTTTAGTTTATCTACAAATAAATGTTATGATCAAAATGAACTTTTAAAAATTGTTTATACCTAGACTTTAAAAAAAAAGTCTTGAATTTTAAGCTCGTCTTTCTGTAGCTTGTTTAGTTTTGTGTAAATAAAATGATGATGGCAAGTGCGAAAATTTTACGGGACTGCAGTTCAGAGTTGAGTTCGGATGTGCGGTCCCTCTCTGTCGCCTCTTCGACAGAAGAGCAAGATTCCACCACCACGGAGTCAGAGTACACCGAAGAAGAAAAAGAATATGAACTAGAAGACTTACAAATATTAAAAACAATTGGTATGTATACATATTTAGTTACTTTTATTTAAATGCCAGATTTAGCGAGATGGGTACTTACCCTTCAGGAGTGCTCTGAAGAATTGTTAGAGATGATACCGTCATATCGTTTTTACCATCGCACCGCCCGCCACCGGAGTAAAGTTCTCCATACTACCTGGAGCCACTGCGGTCCAGGTATTATGGATGAACCAGTGCGTTTCCAGAGGTCTTTTTTGCCACGTACCATTCGGCTATGGAATGAGCTCCCCTCCACGGTGTTTCCCGAGCGCTATGACATGTCCTTCTGCAAACTAGGCTTGTGAAGAGTATTAAGCGGTAGACAGCGGCTTGGCTCTGCCCCTGGCATTGCTGAAGTTCATGGGCGACGGTAACCACTCACCATCAGGTGGGCCGTGCGCTAGTCTACCTACAAGGGCAATAAAAAAAAACCGTATTTTAACTCATAAGTCGATAAATTATTACTCCAACTTAACAACCCATATTTTCAGTGTTTATTGGCATATATCACATCACTAAGGAGTTTAAAATAAATCCTCTAAAAATCTTCTGAGGCTGGACCGGTGGACTGGTGAAAAGGGTTTGGTCTCATCATTTTTGTGAATCAGTCAAGTATATGTAATTTTATTTGTAAAGACGTATTTACATTTCTTTTATAGAGACTAAATATGGGACCTAGAATACAGTACATACTAAAAATACTATAATTTTTACGTTAAAATATTTTTCCCCGAAATAATTGAATTTGTAATGTAATTTCGCGATTCTTTAGGTAGCAGTTACTATTTTGGAGTTCAAATGTTATCTATCACACTTTTTGAATCTTCATTTATTGAGCCGAATCCCCTTAATAATTTTAAACCGAAATCGACCAGACGTATATAATTATATTATGATATTAATAACATATGTTTGAATCGAAATTATCATTTTCAGGATTGAATCTGAAGTTTTAGGAATTCAACTCCATCGTGACTGTAATAAAATAATTTTTTTACTAATTATACAAACGTAGCAAAACACGAAGAAATTCTTAGAATAACTTTCTCATTCTTATAAAATACTAGCCGTACTCGCCCGCTTCGCTGGGCATTTAAAATTAACGTTATTATTTATTGTCATTATTATTAGGGAGTCCAACACTCATATAAATATTAGCCTATCCATTAAGTACATGTATTTTCTACATGGATACCAAGTTTCAAGTCAATCGGATGCATGGTTCAGTAATTATAACGTTACATCCGTTAAACACTGTAGATTTATATATTAGTATAGATGTAGCGATTTTTTTTAAATAAAACGAAGTACATATATTATTAAAAATGAAAATTTATGAAATGAGTAAGTGAATCATCGTTCGGCTGCCCACATCACGATGACTAACAATCTTCCGGAATAAATTATCATCGTTTATAATTTTAAGCAAGAAGTTTGTGTGTGGATGTATTCGAATTAACCACTGCATTGAGCAAAATAAATAAAATATTCACTAACGTATAATGTATAATACTTACCGTATTTCTTCCGGTAATCTCATATATCAACATTGAATAATCTATTGAATTCAATTAGTCCAGAATTTAATTATTGAAGAATGTATTATAAGTAATGAAAGAATCTGAATTGACCAAAATTACTTTTTTTAATTGTTATTAATGAGAATGTCCTCGAGTCAAGCGAGCTCATCCTGCATATATGTACATATATATGTGACGTTGAGCTGTTAACAGAGTCCATAAGCATTAATTACGACAACGGTTATCCATCAGTGGTTCGCCATTCTGATAGAGACGCGTGCCTTTTTTACGGCATGAAGTATCAACCAATTCGGGCTCAAATTTAGTCTGTATATCTTTGTTTATATGAGTTAATTACATCGATTTGGTTCTAGAACATTGGCGGGGTAAATAAACTCATTAATCCTTCTGAAGTTGGTATGAGGGTAACGCGCGTGTTTTGTTTCAGTAAATAATAAGTCGTTTTCCAATGATGATAATGAAAGTAATAAGCTTAGTTTTTAAAATAATGTTTCAAGAGAGACGGGCAATAATGATACAGCGTTACTTTGCAATAAGTCTTGCTCAGTGTCCGGTTCCGGCTTGAGAAGCAAATTTAAATTCGCAAGAGAGGCATAAGTAAGCATAAGATAATAAGATTTCATATTGTCCAAGCGTAGGTTCAGGTTCTGTTTGATCTTATTTATTGTATTTTCTCTCTTCTCTCCTTGCGTCGTATTGCCCACAGCTGAGGGCCGTGTCCACCCACAGAAATAATATCAAGATCTTCATTTATTTCTGTGTGTCCACCCTTTAGTATCTATCACCTTCGCACGCACGATCTTACTCCATCCATTCTTGTCTCTGGCGGTGTGGAGGGTGTCGTAAAGTGTGGAACAAGAGCTCTGCGTATCTTGTCAGACCAACGTATTGAGCTGCGCCTCCGAGGTCTTATCTCATAAACCATACTGGTCACGATAAGCCTCTCGGGTTCGTTACCGTCTTTCCGTGGAATTGTATGATTGCAATAAATTAATTTGAAATAAGTAATTTTTAATTAATTGGAAACAGATGTAGTGCTAAAATTGCGTTACTATCAGTCTCCTGTATTAAATTTTAGAGCAAGTGTGTACAGTTACATAAAAATCTAAATTGAGTTTGTAATCTCAAATTGATTAAGTTTAAAAAAACCTTCCTTTTCTCGCATATGACCTCGAAGTATTTGCTGTCACACTTACTTGGATACGCACATAAATGATACATGTTTAATAGCTCTACCTTCTTTTTTTAAACTAAACTAAAAAGAAAACAATAGCTTTAATCTGCGGTCATTTGTTTATTTCTGGTATTTCTTGCACGCTATGTTTTGACTACAGTTTTAATAATTTTGCGTTATAGCCGTCATAACTTCAAATGATGTCGTAATACTATTTTGTTATACTCCATAAAAATGTTCAGCATAATTTATAGGCAATAGGCAGAGATATTATGAAGAGAAAGTCAGACTTTACGACTCTATGTTTCGCGAAATACGAACATATTTTTTTGTATATTTTTACGATAGCTTTGTCTTTTCATAGAAGCTTGCAGTCAACGTATTATTTACTGACAATACAATAGAATTCACCATTTACTATGCTCAAATAAACTGTAACATACTATAACATATCTGATAAATATTATTCAAATAATATTATGATTTTCTTTTTATTTTATTATTTCTCCAAATTAATTGACTGATTGACATAATGATAGCTAATATTGACATAGAGTGGTTACTACTGTATTGATATAATTATGTGTTTCTAATTCATTTCCTTTGTATATTTAATTAATTGAATTAGTATATTGTTCATTTTCTATTTGTATTGTTGAACTGTTTGTGTGCTGACTATTGTATTATTATTATTTTATGGGTTTTTTTCTGAAATAAATGTTTTATTATTATTATTATTATTAATTAATAATAATTTGGTGAGACAATTCAACTTCTAAATAAATGTGTTTTAAGCATTATAACGCATTGAATAATATAAGTGTTTGTAGCCAGTGAAAACAGAAGGTTTCGATAACTGAGTCGACTATTATCAAAGGCGGCAATCTGACTTTTGGACAATGATTGGTAAATCAGAAAAACGAATTATTGACTATGTATTCCATTGGCAGTCACAAAACTCTTCGGAACGACATCTTAGATAAATAACAGGTTAACTATTAACCTTTATTTAATGCAGGTTTTGAACCGTATTCTTTGAAGGAGACGATTATATTCAAATAAATCTGTATTGACATATCAATAATTTTTTTTTGTCCAAATGTACAGATTGCCGCCTTTGATAATAGACGACTCNGACTTTGTATTCCATTGGCAGTCACAAAACTCTTCGGAACGACATCTTAGATAAATAACAGGTTAACTATTAACCTTTATTTAATGCAGGTTTTGAACCGTATTCTTTGAAGGAGACGATTATATTCAAATAAATCTGTATTGACATATCAATAATTTTTTTTTGTCCAAATGTACAGATTGCCGCCTTTGATAATAGACGACTCAACTATTTGTCAGTTTGTAAACATGGAAATTTCCTAATATTAAGGTCATCTCAGTGGATACTGTGATTGTGTCGGAAAATTTCTGATAAGTTCGCGACTTTATTTATAACATCAGAAACAAGGACGTAACAGCGTGATAGTTTGATATGTAATTAACGATACCATATCGGCTCGACCTATTTAAGTACCTATAGGTGCGTCGCTAATATAGGCCAAGGCCGTTCGCGTTGACCCAGTGGGATAATAAATAATCTCACGTTCAATATTTTAGTAGCAGGCTAGTAAATATTCAGTGTTTCTATTTTACTTGATAATTTGCCTATTTCCTATTTCCATTCACTAAATTAGAAATCTTTTTTGAGGCATCGTGCAGAATTTTCAACAGTCCTGGTTGTCATTATAACTATACTGAGACCTTAGAACTTATATCTCAAGATGGGTGGCCCATTTACGTTGTAGATGTCTATGGGCTCCCGTAACCACTTAACATCAGGTGGGCTGTGAGCTCGTCCATCCATCTAAGCAATAAAAAAAAATCATTCTTAATTTCACTGTACTATTTTTATTTATTAGTTACCAATCCAATGAACATATAATGCATGTCTTCCAGACAACCTTCGCGTAATTATAAGGGTGACGTAAAATTCGCGAGTAAATATTTAATTATGCACAACTTATGCGAACATGTAAACATAACAATATTTCAACGAACACAAATAGAATATAAATAATGATATAATTAATCATTGACAAAGTGCCTTCAACTTTACAATGCAATGTGAATAAAAGTTGATCGTATACCTACAGGTCTCATTTAAAAATAAAAAAGCTAATTATTTAATTAATTTGATAAACATTTAAGAACGAAACCACAGATGTGAACGTAGATATTAGATAGACCTGACCAACTTTCTCAAATAAATATTTATATACTGAACACAGTGA